GTTCAAATCCTGACGCGGCCCGAACCCAATCACCCAGGACAGGCTCCTCAACCTCGGCATTCTCGTCTGAACAATGGAGAGGATAAGAGCATTTTCCCAGGGTGGTAGGAAAGCAGAAATGTGAGAACATCCGTAACGTGCTAAGCACCATGCCTGGTGTGGAATACCAGAGCCACCTTGTGTTAAGCACTTTCTAGAAGCCAAACAGGTCTCAAGCATTAGCTCATTAAATCCTTCCATCAAGCCAAGGCATTGGATACCATCATTATGCCCATTTACCAGAGCAGACAACTGAGACTTGACAAGGTGAGCCCATGACCCAAGGTCACACAACTAGGAAATGGTGAGCAGGAGTGTGAGCCCAGTGCTGCTTGTCTCTGAAGCCTTGAACCCCAACTTTACTAGAGCGTGTGCTCATTTAAGACCTGGAATTAACCCTCAAAGCTGATTGGCCATCCCATTTTACAGTGGATAAAACCGAGACCCAGAGATGAGAAGAGAGCAGTGTGGTCACAGGACTGCTGCTGGAACGGGGCTTCCAGCCCCCACAGTCACTGTTCCCATTAACATAGCACTTCCTACGTGCCAGGTATGAAGCCCTCCATGTGTATCATTGCATGTCAACTTTATAATAACCCTAGGTGGAAAGATACTTGTATCAACCCCATTCTTTTTTTGGGTAAACTGAGGCAGGGAGGGGCAGTAGTTTACTCAAGGTCATGCAGCTAATTAACAGGAGAGGCAGGACTCATACCCAGCGAGCCAAACTCTAGAGGCCTCCTCCAGGGACCCCTGCGGCACGGCCTGCCCACAGAGCCCAAGCCAGCCTTGCCCAACAGCTTGGGCCCCAGGCAGAATTACCTGCCAGGAGAATGGGGTCTGCAAGGCCCCCAGGGCACGGCCACCCCCAGGCAAGGCAGGGTGTAGCAGGAGTCCCCAGCTGGGAGAGCATGGCGTGAGCTACACTACCCAGGGAGATGGGCACGGGGCTGGCAAGCCCGGTCTGCCCGAAGACCACTAGCCCCCAGCCTCTGCGAAGAGTTTTTCCAACAAAATGCAGGCGAGCAAAGAACACGTTCTGCTTTATGTGTCTCTTGTTGTAGGCAGTGCACATCTTGGGAGATGTGTGGATGAAAGGCGCCATATAAAATGCAATCAATTATGAATCACCATTACTGAATTAATCACATGTATGATTAATACGGTAATAATAATTAATGGGACTATGGTCTGGAGATTGGAGCGGAGAACTGGCAGGGAGGAGTCAGGGTGCTTCTTGAAGGCTCTGCCGCTGCCTGGAGGTGTCACCTTGGGGAAGGCCCTGGGCTTGGGCCTTGGTCTCTCTCCCCCTGCCTTGGCTGTAGACGTGAGGGGTCCAGGGATGGCTTGAAAAACCCTGATGGTCCCGGGCTCGTTCCCTGGATCTTAACCACTCACAGCTGCATCGCAACTGCTCAAGGTCAGGGGGACAAATCAAAATCTTGGTCTGGCAAAACAGAGACCGGAGGGAAGGAGGCCAAGGGTGAACACACAATGGGAGTGGTCTGCAGCGTTCCCTTGTCTTGAACCAGTAACGTGAGCTCATTTTTATCTGTCTGTCTTCTTGTCTGTCTGCAGCAGGATTCACCTTCTCTCAAAAATCCCAGAGGGCCTGGACCTCATCTGCTACCTCTCATTGCAGAGCTACTAGATCCTTTTTGCATGTGACTTTATAATTTCCTATTACTCGTCTACCCCCACCCATGCAGATTTCCTCATTGTACAGGAGTCAAGCAACACGGGGAGATTATGTATGTAATAAGGCATGTCATCCCCCCCATGTCTCCTGTTCATACTTTGGTATCTTTATTTTATATATAGCCTTAAAAAAACATAGATGGAATAAAATTAAATGCATTGTTCTGCAGACGCTTTTTGGTACTAAGATGTGACATACACAATTCAAATTAAAACTGCATCTCAGAGCCAAAATCACGCAACCGAGGAGGGTGGTTGGGCTTCTCCGGAGGGAGGGGGGTCAGCAACAAGGATTTTCATCTTATTTCATTTTATTTTGGTGGGGGAGGAGGGGAGATTCATTAACCCTTTCCTGCCCCTGGTGCTCAGCTTCGTTTCATTACCACCAGGAAGAGGTCATTTGTCATAAGGTACCTTGATGAAGTTTTAAAATGAACGTCTCTTGACCACCTGGTCCCTACACGGCCAGAATCCTACTTTGTTTTCCATCTTTATAGTTCACTTGACAGGACCTGCATCTTCTGGATGTTACCTGCGGCTGCTGCCACAATCATCGCAAAGGGACCACCTTCCCAGGCAAACCTCTCCTTGTGCAGATGGGGAAACTGAGGCTGAAAGCCAGTAAGCGATGACCCATGCCACATGCCTAGTTAGGGGCTGAACGGAGAAAAACCCCAGATCCTGACTCAGGTCAGTGCTCTTTCTACCATCCCGTAATTTCCAGGGCCTGGAGATGGGGAGACCAGAAGATAGTTTCCAGATGGGTCCCTGAAAAAGCTTGTTGGCATCAGCTTCTTGGTGAGGCAGAGAGGACAGGGGAGAGCAGGGCTGGAGAGGTGTTGTAAGCATTGTTTCCAGTGGCCCAGAGCTTTGCCTGTGGGTCCCTTAAAGCATAACAAGAGGACACACCCCAGCCCCTGCACTGTATTTAGATGAACCACAACCTCCACGTCTTGTTGGCCGTTCCTGACAGCATCCCGTGTCAGGGATGATGGAGGAGCAGGGCGTTTCCAGGGAATTGATGACCCTGCTTGGGGGCAACAGCAGGCTGAGGACCGGCCTGGGTCATCACTCACCCTGCCTCCACAGAAGCCCCACACTGTGCCTTTCTCTGCTGCCTGCAGGCCTGGTGCCTGCAAATCAAATGGCTGGGATCTGTTCGACTCTGAGGAGCCTCCTCCGACTAGATGCTTTGGGGCCAGGGAGCAGGTGACCAGGCTGGCACCGATCTGCTCTCCGAGACAGCTTTGCGGAGTGAGCCCCTCTCCAGCGAGAGGGTTCGGAGAGCCCGTAAAGGAGGAGGCACTCAAAGGCTGTTCTGACCCCTCCTTGGAAAAGGAAAGATTCACATCTCACAAATGGGTAAACTGAGGCCCCAATCTGTGCTGTGCCCCAAGTTAACCAGGAAGCCAGGCAGTGGCAGAGGACCCCTGGGAGCCAGAGAGCCCTGCCTACAGGCCAGAGTCTTCCTGGGCTGTGTGACCTTGGGCAAGCTACTTACCGTCTCTAAGCTTCATCTCTAACTTGGGACTTTGCTAATAGGAGTTAAGTCATGGGTCTGTTGGGAAGAATCAGTGGTGGATATACAAAACCTGGTTTGCATGAAGTCTGGCCTAAAACAGGTGTTCAAGAAACGTTAAATTTTTGTTACTCTTATTATTATTAAAGGAGATGACAGTCTCTAATTCCGCATCGTCTGCCTGCTTTGCGACAAGAGCCGAAATGGTTCTCAGCAGTATGGTCCCTCTCCAAGCTAAGGGAGGAGCCAATGGCAGGGAGGGGTCAAGGTGGAGGTAAGAGGCGGCAGAGGGGTGGGGCACTAAGGTGCTCCATCTTGCTCCTGCTCCTGACACCCTCTGTGACCTTGGACCAGTCCCTCTCCCTCCCTGTCCTCAGGCTTTGTTCTCGCATCCAAACAGCAGGGCTGCCTGAGCACTGCAGGGCGAACCCACCCCGGAGGAGGAGGCCAGGAGCACCTGAAATCCACATGTCCCCCCTGGAAGATGGAGGAAGCTCTCTGCACAGCCCTGGAAGACAGCACCGGCAGGAAACCTCCAGGGGGGTTCAAGAGCCCGGGGCTGCCCAGGGTTGCCAACTCCTTGGTCTCTGCCCGGGCCCCCTGCAGGAGTCCTCCCGCACCCCTCCCACCCTCTCACCAGGAGTGAGGCCCCTCCTGCCCCCCTACTCTGCGCTCCCTCCGGAGCTGGCTTGGCTTCATCAAAAGCAGGGCCCATCAGGGTGGAGGCGGCGATGTGTCAGCTGGTATTCAGGCTCTGGTTGTGCGCTCAGATCGCTCCCCCTCCCCATCTCCCCAAATCCACCCACCCACCCTTTTACCCGCTGCTTGGGGCCTTCTGGGTGGCAGCACTTCACAGAGGGAGTCAGAGCGGCAGGCTTGAGCCCTTGGCTGTTGGGGGTGGGTGGACTGACTCACTTGGCCCCCTCCCTGGTGCCGATGGGGCAGCCCCCACACCCCTGGGCGCTGGCACCCCGTCAGGCCCCAGGGTTTTGGAAAAGGAAGGCTGCAGCCCCGCGGCGCCTGACCCGGGCCGGCTGAGGATGCGCCCTGCGCGCAGGGACCCGCCGGCCCCCGAGCCGGGAGGAGATGTTTAGGCAGCGACCCCCCAAGAGCAGGCTCGCTCCCGCGGCAGCCTGCTGGGGCCACCCTGGCCGAGGGCCCGCCGGACGCCCCTGCTGGCGGCGCCCCTCCCCGGGCCGTGGCGCGTCCCCCGAGTCTCGCAGTATTTCCTTCCTGCACCTTTAAGAAGACCGTTGCTCCGTGGTGGGATGGTGTGTTAAAGCCACACAGAGGAAGTTACGCAGCCCGGATCAGACCGAGAGATAAAAGCCCCGATGGTGATCGTGAGAGATGGCAAGAGGATTTAGCCCCGGCATTAACTTGGAGCGGAGTGCAGGGGGGCGGTGAAGCGGCCCGCCATCTGGCCCGCGCCGCGCCGCGGGGGGGATGCGCCGGCGCCCCGACGAGCCGCCGCGAAGCCCACCCGGGCCGGGGGCTGCCCGGTGCCCGCGCGCCGGTCCTCTCCGAGCCGCCCAGGGGGCCCAAAAAGTTTGCACTTGTTAGAGGCGACCTCCCGCTCGGCCCGGGGTGGGCGATGCGGGCGGCGCGGGCGGTCCCCTCCCCCGGCCCGCGTCTCCGGGACGGCTGCGGGCGGCCCCCCCGGCGGCCGGAGGGCGCCCCAGCCCCGATCTGACGGCCGCGGCGGCGGCGGCCACAGCGGCGAGCGGGAGCGGCGCGCCGAGGAGCAGCGGCTCGCCGCCCTCCGGCCCGAGCCCCCACCCAGCGCCGGCCAGGGCAGGCGGAGCGCCCGCGGGCGGCGGTCCTCGGCCTCCCGGGTCCGCGCTCCGGGAAGCTGCTCCGAGCCGGGGTAAGGCGGGCGGGGAGAGCCGGCGGGCGCGCGGGGGGAGAGCGGCTGCAGCTTTGCCAGCCTGGTTTCATTTTTAAAGGGCTTCGGTGACCGTGCAAGCTTCCCCGGGGCCCGGGAGCCACTTAAAGCGGCCCAGCAGAGGCTCGGATGCAAAAGTTATTTGGTGGCTGCTGTTACTAGCGGAGGACTGGAGTCGCCCGAGAGGGGTGTGTGAGTGTGCCTTTGTGGCAGCATCTTAAAGGAAAAGCTTGTCTTTCCGGCTGGCGTTTTCCTACCAGGGTCTTTTTCCATCGTGTGTGTGAGCGCGCGCGCGCGCGAGTGTGTGTGTGTGTGTGCCCGCGCGCGCGCGTGTGTGTGGTGGGGATAGATGTTGCAAGAATGCGTGCATGTGTTTGTGAAAAGGAAATTAACCCTTCTCTCGCGCTACTCCTCCGCCCCAACTGAACCGCCACCCTCGACCGCCACCCGCCAGCCCCCCTTCCCCGCATCCCCTTCCCATCTCTCCGAAAACTGGGTCTGTGCGAGTTGCGCAGAGAAACTCTTCGCCAGCCAGGCTGGAAACTTCTTTCCGTGCCGTGGAGGGGTGGGCTAATGGGGGAGGGGGATGAGCAGGGACGGGCTTGGGGACGTGTGGAGTGGAGCCTGGAACAGGTCTGCGCGCAGACGGGGGAAGCAGAGGCAGCGGGAAGGCGGGAAGAGGACCGTGGGCTCACGGGGTCTGCCGGCTCGGAGTAAGTTGCCCGCCCGGGCGGGGGACGGCGGAGGCAGGGGCGCTGCTGGAAGCGGCGCGGGGTAAAAGGAGGTAACTAATTCCCGGGCTTTGCTCGGTGTCTTCTAATTGAGGGAGGCGGTGCCAACGGAGGGGGCACCCTCGGTGCCGGCGGGGCCTTTATTAAAGTCCTGCTTATTAATTGCCGCCGGGGCTTGCGCTCAACTTGGGAAAGACAAAGCGCAGCTGCGGGACTGGGGGACACGCCCCTATGCGATGCATGCCCGGGTGCAGCCTACCCGATGCTCGGACTCCACCCTGACCCCTCGGCCCAGCCAAGACCGACCCCGGACCCCGGCCCAGCCCAGGCCTCCTTTTCGCGCCCCACCCCCCAGCCCTCAACTTTCCGGGGCTCCCCGGCCGCCAAGAGGCGATGGGGGGCGCCAGGAGCCGAGAGGGCCCCTGTTCCAGGGCTGGGGGCACCTGGACCGCGGGTAGCAGGATGCTAGCTAAGCCAGCGGTGCTCGGAGCACCCCGGCGGACCTGGCCCGGGGTGGAGGGCGGGGAGGTGACCCGGCGGCAGCGGGCTCCCCTCTCCTTCCTAGACCTCGGGCACCACCCCCTTGATGGCAGATTTCATTCCGCCCCGCTGCCCCCATGGGAAGGGAGAGGGAACCTCAGGGTGGGCAGCCCCCCGGACCCCTCTTCCAGTGCCCTCAGGGGGGCCCCGCGCCCACAGCGCCAAGTTTCCCACGAGGCGAGGGCGCAGCGGGCAACTCCGGGAGGAGCCCGCTCTGAGCCCAGCCAGCTCCGAGAGGCGCTAATTCAATAAGACAGAGAAATCGGAGTTCAGAAATCCTGGTAAAATCTAATTTTCGGGTTTTAATACCCTGGCTATCAGCCCCCCTCGGTTCCTGAGGACTCTTAAAAGAAATAAAGCGCATTGATTCTATTTGTTCCTGGGAGCTGCAGTTTCTTAATAATATCAGGTGAAGATTTATTTTCCAAGGAGAAAACGATCCACCGGGATACAACCTCTTACTCTGAAATTTCCCGGCTGGCTTCCCACTCCCCGCGCACCGCCTCCTTATTCCGGGGCCTCTTGCTTCTCTCGTCCCTCCTTGTTTTTTGTTTTTTGTTGTTGTTGTTGTTGTTATTGGGGTTTTGGTTTTTTGTTTTTTGTTGTTGGTGGTGGTTTTTTGGTTTTTTTTTTTTTTTTTTTGCTTTTCTTTTTTGGCAAAAGCCGCTGTAAGATTCGCTTGTTGAGCTCACTAATCTCGCTGTGATACCAGCAACGCCCCGCTGACTGACGAGTTGTAAGCACATTTGCTACCCCGCCCCCAGCAGATCGGGTTGTCCTTGGCTTCCCCCCACCCCACCCCTGCCCCAACCACCACCCCATTTTCCAGGGAATGCGCCGCATTTAAACCGAAAGAACTGCAAAGCGTTTCCTAGATTTTCCAGTTGCTCCGCACTTGGCTCTCCGTGGCCTCCCGGCCTCCCGGCCTCGCTGCCTCCCCGCGCCCGGGGGAGGCTGCCCGGGGCGCAGTCAAAACCCTGGGCAGCGGCTGGTCCTGCAGAGGAAGGAAGCCCGCAGCCAGCGCCCTGGTGTCGCCTCCCCCGTCAGGAGCTCCCTACCTGTCCGTGAACAGTTGGGAGTCTTGGGCTGGAAGAATTAATTAGGGACGCGCTGTTTTCTGGGCAGCTCGAAGCTTGGGGAGAGGCGTCCAAACCTTTACCGGCCGCGCTCTTTTATTTTTATGACATTTTCTCAGGTTGTAAAAATAGTCGCCAGGCCGGTTCTTTCTGAGAGTTTTCTAGCAAGGAGCGCATTCAAGGCCAGGCAGGTTCTAAGACAGGTTTCTCTTTAAGCAGCCAGAGGTGAGCCCTGAAAATGTGGTCCCCCCTCGGCCTCTCATTCATCTCCATCTAGAGCCCTTCAGCCAGGGAGAGGGGCAGGGGCCGCCTTAATGCTGATTTATGATTCCCCCGGGCTGACTGGGCGCTACTGTAGGAGCCCAGGGGAGCCGCCGGGCCCCTCTGGACAAAGTCCGCCTCCCCGGTTTGTCATTTTTGGCCGCAGTGTGTTTGTGTCTAGGTGGAGAATGGGGTTTCGAGGCAAAGTGATGAACTCTTTAGGGGAGGCTTCCCTGTAGGGGGTGGCCCGAGGGGGTGGCAGGTGAAAATTGCTGAGGTTAGTTAGCACCAAAGCCCAAGCAGTGTGGGGATGAAGAGGCAATCATCATAGGTCTAATAACCAGAATAATTAATAATGGGGCTGTCTGGTGTGACTCATCCCATAACCTTTGCCCTACTGGCTTGTATTTTTGGCCAGGATCCCACACTGGCTGGACTCAAGTTCTCCTGGTGATGTACCCAGTGTCTGGGGACACACCACGATACCGGAGTCATGTTTTCTGCAATGTAACATTTATCTTCGTTATAGCTATTTGGGCTCTTAAATAATTATCAGTAGCTTAAAATAGTAAAGTAATAATCATAATAGTGACTCATGTATAGACGCACCCTCCAAAGATGATCGCAGTTTTGGCTTGATCAGAAACTCTAACGTGACAAACCATCATCACTTCTGCGGTAGTTTTCACCGTCCCTAGTTTCTTAGCGTTGAAAATCCCATGGACCATTGTAGAACTTGGGGAGAGACTTCTCAGCACCTGGTTCTTCCTTGCTGGCCCACACTTGGATCTGTACCTGTCTGTACAGGCTCGTTGGCACTCAGGGTGACAGCTTTGACATTCTGACTTGTCGGTCACAGTTTCGAGAGCCACCACTCAATCCTGACCCCTGAGCATGTTTTAGGAAGTCGGTGACCCCAGGCAAGGGCAATTCTGCTGCCCTAATAACCCCAGAAAAGAGGGGGGGGGGAAGCAAATCCCCTTCTAAATAATGTGCCGAGCCTGCAAATGTGCAAATCTAATATTAATAAAATTAACCTGGCTTTCTCGGGAGACCTTGCTAATGCAGCCTCATTTTTTTTTTTTTTTGGTGCACATTTTGCCAGAGAGCTTTTATTCTTATGCATCTTTATCGCCCCCCCTTCTCTTTTTAATTTGTTGCAGGTGTTGTTGCTAATGAGCTCTCTTCCTCCCCTCTTACAATGAAAGACAAGCCAGCCCCCGGGTACCTGGATGGATTGAGAGCCGAAGTGTCAGAAACTTCATAATAAGTTGCTGATGGCTACCAGCCAAGGTCAGCTGGCCCCCATTAGTGCCTGTCCCCACAAAGCAGAGCCAAATAAGCTTCTCCCCAGTTAAGAACCTCAGTCACTTTTTTATGTGGCGGTCCAGCCACACAATTGTTGTCACTTTAAGCCCATGTGAAAAGAAATCTCTTCTGTTGGTCTGAGATGCCGGTCCAGTCCCACAGAGGGGACACCGTTCCAGCTAACACGCACACCTCCTGATTTTATTTTATCTTTACAACGCAGGCTGGAGGGTTGTTTTGCAGTTCTGTTGAGCACATCACACATTTAAGGGCCCTTTAAAGACCTGGATTGATTGGAAGGACAAAAATTAAAAGCAATCTGATCCGGCCTCGTGCCAGATCCCTGCGGATTTGCTCCCTATCCCATTTCCACCCACTGTCACAATTCGAGAGCCTGCCTGATTTGATCAGATTCGCCTCTGGGAGAGGTGTAATGCCAAGGTTAGGAGGACGCGAAGTTACGGGCAACTTTCTGATTTGCCCATCAGCAGTCTGAGAAACGCTGGCTCTGAGTCTTCCAAATCGGCCTTTGGGAAGAAACAAGTTCCTCGCTCTTCGCAAGCCGGCACTGCTCCGGTCCCTGGGACATCCAGCCACCGGTGCCTGGTAGATGTGGCACTTCCATGCTGAGGCCGAGAGTCCCGCCTGACCCAGTCACTGCCTCTCCAGGGCCTGTCTGGGCCACGCCCCTGCGGACTGCGCAGCCATGCTGCCCCTGCTCGCACTTTTCCTGCACTGCCTCCCACTGGCCTCGGGGGACTATGACATCTGCAAATCCTGGGTGACCACGGACGAGGGCCCCACCTGGGAGTTCTACGCCTGCCAGCCCAAGGTGATGCGGCTGAAGGACTACGTCAAAGTGAAGGTGGAGCCCTCTGGCATCACGTGCGGAGACCCCCCTGAGAGGTTCTGCTCCCACGTAAGTCAGCCCCCCGCTGTCCTGTTTGCTCAGGCCAAGGGGGAGGGGGTCCGGGACAGACTCTGCTGATGGGTGGGCAGAACGGCAGGACCAGAGAGATGCAAGGTTGACTTTCCTGCATCTTGGGTTGGGAGCAGATGGCTGTCCCACCTTGGAAAAGGGCCAAAGCCAAGGCCACCCCCAGGGCTCTGCGGTCATGTGACGTCATTCTCTGGGGTGGGTACTTTCTTGACCAGCTGACCACCAGATCCTTTTCTCTTGGGAAGACCATAGTAGTGATGGGCCATGCAGACAAGCCCCGCCTCCCCTGAGCAAGGGAGCAGGGCACGGAGCGCTCTGCGCATCACTTCAGTGGTACCACGTCCTCTCCCACCTGATCCAATCCGGCAGACGGTGTTGCCGGGCCAGCGCATGCCATGCGCCAAGCTGGAGCTCTGCAGGGGAAGGTTTGATGCAAGTGCAGAGGGGGTTCATAAGGGTGGAAGGAGAGAGCCAGACCAGGACGGACGGTGTGGCTGGTTCTCTTTCCAATCCCATCCCTATGGGTGGTGACTGCAGTCACTGGTTAAGTCAGGGGGACAGCAGCTGTTCAGGTGTTGTCACTTGAGTCCTTAATTAGAGAAGGATGGGGTCTTAGAGCCATGGAGCACTTGAGCAGTCCGTGTTACCAACCACAACAGCGGTGATAATAGGAGGGACCATTCATGGGAGCCCCTCGTGTGGGCTAAGAGCTTGCTATGCAAGTCCTCCCATCAGCTCACCCAGGCTGATTCTCTGTTGTATCAAGGAGGAGTTTCAGGGGATGGGCTCTGAACCAGTGGCATCTCTGGGCCTCTGTTCCATGGTCTGTAAAATGGGCGTTTAAGGGGAAAGTGAGCTGATTCATATGTGTAAAATGCTGAGTAGGGCCTTTCACAGAGCAAGTGCCCCATAGGTATTAGCTGTTGTCATTCCTGTTGTTCAGATGGGGAAACTGAGGCTCCAGGTCACACCAGGAAGTGGTAAAGCTGTGATTCAAGGGTCTGAGCTAAGCTGCCTGCCGAGAGGGACCTTCCCACTTGGCCAAGCCTTAGATCTCCATCCCCGCCCCTGTGCCTGGCAGGAGGCTGGGCTGGGCAGCATCTTCGGGGTGACTGCTGCCTCCATGTGTCCTTGAGGGAGCCTCCGGGTCTCTGGGCTTATGGCTGGACTGAGCAGGTATTCCACTGGGCTCCTGAGGACACCTCAGTCCCACGGGCAGCAGCGTTCCGATCACAGAGCAGCCAGCCTGGGAAGGTAGCTTCCTGTCTGGACTGTCAGCGGGGAGGCTGTTACTGGGGCTGGTGGCTGGGCCAAGGGAGCAAGCTGGGGAGTGGGGGGGGGGGAGAAGGCAGCAGAAGGCTGGGAGTGGGGGTTGCTGGATAGCTCGTGGGGATCACTGCACTGGGGATCCCAGGGCCTCACGGCTCAGGGATGAGCAAGGGGGTCAGCTCGTAAAGGTCAGGAGCAAGGCCACACTTGGGGGGCAGTGGAGCTCAGTTCTGAGCCTATGTACTAGGAGGGCACCCCAGCCCAGCTCATGCAAAGACTTTTCCACACACTCCCGAGACAGAGTCAACCTCTGCTTCTCGTATTAGAGTCCTGACTGTATTTCTTCTCTTAAATATTCATCATGCTTTAATGTACTGGGGGGAGGGTGTGGGGCGGGGCAGCTAAATCATGACTCACTGGACCAGCATCTGGTCAAGGGCTTGAGGGGAGGCGATGACCATCATATGCAAGTCTGAGGCCCTCTCCTGGCCAAAGCTGGCTCACGATACCCTTAGCTCTGGGCCTCTGCCCTGCCCCCACTCTCGTAGGGAGGACCCAGGGCACCTGCCAGGGTGGGGTACTCACCCTCCCCCAATCCTACTGTTGTCCCGCCTGAGCCCTGGCAGGTGTCATTGAGTGCTGGGGTCTGGGAGGAGCTGCCATCCCCTCTCCTTCTGTCCTGGGAATACAGGAGAGGAAGAGCAGCGTCTTCAACATCTCCTGCCTAGGTCCTGCCTAGGGTCCTCAGTGTCTCCACACCTGTCTGATGGACTTAAATATTTCATCACAGGCTGCCATCCCGCTCTGCCTATTATCACAAGTGTGTGGCCAACAAGAATGGGGACTCTGCCTGGCCGGTGGAGGGGGGCTGGCTTCTGCAGGGAGCGGTGGGGGAGGGGGTCACATCCAGATAACTTCAACCCCCCATACTGCCTCCCCAGAGCAGGTCCTGCCTGTGTCTCATTTAATCATCTCTAGGATGCTCTGAGTGGGTCCTGGTCTAATCCTGTTGTAGGGATTAGAAGGGGTTGCCTAAATCCCGCCAAGGTCACTCAGTTTGGAAGGCAGAGGGCAGCCTGTCTGCAGCAGAGCCCACGCTCCCCCACCAGGTGGCTCCGCCTTCCCTCGCAGAGGCTCAGCTTCCTGCCCAGTAAAGGAGAGATAATCCCGTATGTGAGGCATGGAGCTGGCCGGGGAGAGCAAACTGGCACACAGTGGGTTCTCAATGTGCAGTAGGAGTTGTGCGTTTATCATTATCATCAGGACGCGCTCAGCAGTGTCCCTGGCTTTTCTTCTTTGCCTCTGTCCAGCCTCCAGAAGGCCACGCCCTGCATTCCCGGTCCCTGGGCAGCCGGCCTGCCCTGGATGGTCAGGGAGCTCCGACGCCTGCAGGCACGGCCGGCGGCATGAACCACCAGGGGGCGCCCTAATGGTATCCGGTAGCCTGGCCAGCGCCCAGTGGGTCCCTGCGGCGACTGCTGGACCTGTCCCCACATGCGGCCAATGGGAGTGTGAGCCCTGGAGCACCCCCCAGGGTGCACGGGGAGGGCACGAAGCAGCCACTGTTTTCGGGGTTCAGGGTGCGGACCCTCCCTCCCGCCAGGCTTCCCGTCCTTCCGCAAGGCCACCTGAGACATGAATTGTAAATTCCAGCCTGGTGAGGAAGGGGAGCGGGGAGAAGACCAAGATAAATGAATAAATAAAAACCTATTGGCTCTAAATGCACAATGAGAATTAATAGGGATGAGCTCTCAACCAAGGATCTGAGGGCAAGGGCAAAATTTCAATGAGGACTGCAGGAGAGCACGGGCGGCCCCCACCCTCCGATCCGGCCGGCCGCAGAGGGCCAGCCTGGCCACGCGGCAGGGCCCAGGGGGCAGGAGAGGCAGTACCCACTGAGGCTTCTCATCCCCTGTGCTGTTGGGTGTCGGGAGCAGCCCCACGGTGCCCCAAAACACTCTCCTTGTGCCTCTGGAGACAAAAGCTGACCCACGAGTCTCAGGAGAGAGATGGTGAGGAAGAGAGAGGGGGTGGGGTGCTGGCCACAGACCAAGCAGGTGGTGGTTAAAGTGACCCTACAGGTCCCCCCTTGCCGCCTAAAATGTAGTCCTTGGACTCACCTCATTAAAAATGCAGAATCCCAGGCCTGCCCCAGACTGCTGAGCCAGGAACTGCATTTTAACACAAGATCCAGGGATCTCAGAGACATCCAGGGTACGGTCCGAGGTATGTAACGGCCTCATGGTGCGTGCACCCCACGGCTGACGTTCCCAGGGGATCTGCGCGGGCTACGTGCCGAATCCCTATTCAAGGAGATGGTGGGGAGCAGCAAGCCCGGGAGTGAGGGCTGGAGCTGGGAGCTGACGTCTCTGAGACCCTCTGGAAGCTTCCAAAGAGAGGCTGTAGGTATCTCGTCTAGAGCCACAGGCCTGGGGTCTGAGGACCCGAGCTCCCATCCCAGCTCTGCCATTCTCAGGTCATTTAGATTCTCTGAACCTCCGTTTCCTCGTCTGTAATGGGCGGTGATCGTGGGCTGCCTTGCCTGCCCCACCAGCTTCCTGGAAGAAGGAAATGTTTCTCTCAGAATATCTAGAAGTGCTTGAAGAGGGTGAGTTCTGTTCTCGTGTCAGGCTTTGATATGATTGTTGATCCAATCTTGATCCTCTTGATTTTGAAATAGGTGAACATTAAACTTTTTATCCAAGGAGACTTTACATGTACAGGACCCTTGGTCTTGGGCTTGACGGGAAACCAGGAATAGGCCATGAAGGTGTATCTTTGACCACCCTTTTTCCTCAAGCACCTGCTTTACCTTCTCTGTGCCGCGGTTTACCCAGATGCAGAGCACGTGGTCCTATCCCCCCACCCAAGGGGACTGCTGGGTTGGGTGGATCCTTGAGTCCTCAAGCCCCTCCCCACTGTGACATTGAACACCATATGTAGAATCAAGGTCATAGATGTCCCACCTCCTGCCAGACCTCCATGTTCACAAAATATTCCCACCAAGCCACACTGACCTGACAGCTCCGCTGGCTCAGCCCTCCTTCCCCCTCTGTTTTCCTGGTCCCCAAGCCCGCAGGGGAGAGCATGTGGAACAACTTGCCCCCGCCTCCTCCTGTCCTCAAAGAGACAGCACGGCAGACGTTACCCACATACACTAACAACAGGTGTCAGGGAGACAGAGCTGCTGTGGTGGGAGCCCCCGAAAGGTGAAGATGCATCTCTTCAGCTCACCCTTTGTGTTCCAGCCCGCCACGCTTCCCACCTCTGCACCCTTGCCTAGGCCACCTCCTCCACCCAGAATGTCTTCCCTCGCTTCCTTCATTTCCAAGGCTTCCACATTTACCTGGAAAACCCCAGCTCAGTCTTCAAGGTTCACGTTGGACCTCCCCTCCTCCAGGAGGCTTTCCCTGATTCCCTAACCCAGGTGGGTAGAAGGCCCCCATCTGGTCACACCCCCGTCATCGTGCTCACTGTTGTTGGCCTAGTGGTTTAGGGCATGGGTCCTAGGGGCAGAGAGATAGAGGTTAGAACCTCATGCTGTGTGACCTTTGGCATGAGGCTTAACCTCTCTGAGCCTTATTTCCTCAAATTGCTGCTATTAATAGGATATGCAAACAGGACTGTCTGGTGCACAGCGCCTGGCATATGGTTGATGCTCATTCATGAGGGCTATTGTACTCCTGGTGTTTTCTTTTGCCTTGGACTGT